GAAGTTGCCGGGGCGGGGTCTCCGGCTGAGCGCGAGCGACAGGGCGGGTGACGTGGGCCCCGGAGGCCGGGGGGCGCGACCGGGCCTGGGGGACCTCAGCGGCGGGACCTTCCTGTCCACACCGCCGGTTCCTCACGTCCCCTCCCCCCAAGCCGCTCTGAGCCGCGGTGCCACCCCGCGTGCCCCACGGTCCCCTCGTATTAGCTCTGGACCGTCTCCCTCTGACACCAGGACCAGGGCAGGGACTTGTCTGTTCAAGAGTGAAGTGAATGAGTGAATGTGACATCTGTACAATGACCTCGGGGCAGGGGACGCTCCAGCCAATCTACACCTGCACCCACAGCCCAGGCCGGGACTCCCTCAGAGCCAGGACCCCAGGCCAGGCCGGGTGGGCAGCAGGTTCCCCCTCCTCCTCCAGGGGGCTGGTCAGCTGTTCCCTGGAGCCAGTGGGTCCCTTTTAGGATGAGCACAGAAGGTAGGGGCTGAGCCCCCTTGTGGAGTTCTGGGCTCCCTCCCACTCCCCTCTGCCCCCTGGAGCTGCCACCTCCCCTCCGTGGAGCATCGGACCAGGCCCAGCCAGGCACAGGGGGCAGGGGGGGCATTGTAGGGGCACCTGCCATGCCTGGCACAGTCGAAGGGTAGGGATTGGGGGAACTTGGTGTCCTGGGGCTCTGGGCAGTCAGCCACTATGGTTTCAGGAAAGGGCACAGCAGGGGCTGTGTCCTTTGAGGGGTCACAGCTCATGAAAGGGTTCCTTCAATCCACCCATGACCCTCGAGGTGGGCCAGCCAGGGATCAGGAGGTAGGACTGGTGTCTCTGCCCCAACTGCTCAGAGCAGGAAGGTGGATCCCACCCAAGGTGGATCCACAGCTCCAGGCCTGGGGTGGGGGCAGGGGCCCAGGGACCCCCAGGTGGCTTCTTCCGGGGCCCCCTGTGCCCCTCTGTTGCTGATGGGGGTGGGGCCGTTCCTCTGCCCCATGTCTTGCCCCCATCACACCTGCCTGCCCCATGAGGACAGCCTGCGGCGGGGCAGGTGGGCAGGTTTCCGTTTGGCACCTGATTCTGGCCAGTCTGGCGGATGGGACTGGTCACAGGGGAGGTGGGTCCCTGAGGGGACGGGGTGGGAAGGAGCCTCTGTTCTCTCCACCCAGCTCCAGCCTCTCCAAGGGAGGTTCCCACCTGAAGCAGCTTCTCTCTCCTGTGAGCTCTTTGTAGAAGGGAATGATAGGGGGCCAGAGAGGACTTCCAATTTGCACAGTCTGTTCTTTAGAAACACTCTGACCTGGCTGGGGATGGGGGCATGGGCTCCCAGGCTGCCTGGTGCTGGGCCACTCTCCTGAGGCTGAGGTGACGGCACGGAGTTCATGGGACCTGCCCAAAGGCAGAGAGGCTTTTCCACACACCTGAGCCCTGCCCTTGAGATAACGGAGCACTGGGGAGGCACCTGCTCCACTCTCTGGCAGCTGATTCTCGTCTCAGAGGTGTACGGGTCTCTTTTATTGGGGAGGGTCATCTTTGCAGCAAGGTACCTCTGGTTTTGCATCGTCCAAGCCCTGATCTTATTGGAACAGTCTAGGGTGGTTACAGGGAGCCTGCGTGTCATTTGAGAACACATCAACCCCCCCCCCCACGCTAGGGTGAAGAGATCCCCACAGGGCTGCCCCCTGACTCCATGGGATCCTGCACCCAGGCCGGTTCCAACCAAGAGTAAGAGAGGCCTTGTCAGTGCCTGTGGTGGGCTCTCAGGCCTGACCCCAGCCCTGGTCCTCACTTCTCACGCTGGGCTGCTCTGAGCACTCAGGCACAAGGTATGGGATTGAGTTTGCAGTCTCTGCCCTGGAGTGGTGTTGAGTCCTCAGGAAAGCCTGGGAAGAAAGAACTGTAGACTCCTGGCCTCGTCACAGGCGAGGAAATGGGCTTACAGGTCACAGCAGAACACATGGGGCAGAGCTGGGACTGAGACCCAGACCCACTGCCTAGAAAACTCACCAGCCTCTCCTCACCTGAGGGGCTGAGGGGTGAGAGCTGAGGGGTGCCAAGGCCTGTGCCCATGTGCATGCCCGTGAGTGCCTGTGTGCACACCTGTGTGTGTGTCTAAGAGTGCCTTGTGCACCCGTTTGTACCTGTGTGCGCATCTGTGTCTGTGTGCCTACCTGTATATGCACCTGTGTGTCTGTGGGCTCACCTTTGTAAGCATCTGTGTGTCTGTGCACCTGTGCACCTGTGTATACCTGTGTGTCTGTGTGTGCACCAGAGTAAGCTTGCGTGTGCAGCTGTGTATACCTATGTGTGCCTCTCTGTATGTATGAGCACTTGTGCACCTCGATGCACCTGAGCATGCATGCACACACCTGTGCCTATACCTACATTGGGTGGTGAGCTGTCTGGGGTCTGCTGGTGAACACGCTTCTCTTAAGCAGACATCTGTTTGGAGGAGCAGCATGTGTGTGGCTCATGTTTGTCCTTATTTCGGAGCCATGTTTGTCCACTGGTTTCTGTGGGAAAGCGCAAGGCTCCCAAGGCTGGGGGACTGGTGTCTGCTGTCTCCTGTGCAGAGCATCATAGGCACCCGCGCTGGAGGCATGTGCGTCTGGGTATGAAGGTGAGTCTAGTTCTGATATGGGAACCTGGGTGCCCTGTGCGTGAATCTAACTTTGGGGGACAAGTGTGCGATTCTGCACTTGTGTTAGGTTTGGGGAGCTGCATGTTGCACGTGAAGGTCTCTCAGGGCCTTATGGAGGTTGTTGTTGGCTTCTCCGTCTGTGGGGCATGATGCTCTCCTCCACGCTTGGCAGCAGCTTGGGTCCCCGCCACCTTAGAGTCTCATGGCAGCAGTGTGGGTGCCTCCCAGCCTGTTGGGGTTGCTGCTGCAAATCCAGCCTCGCTTCCTAACAGATAACGTGTGACACTTTCTCGTCTTTCAGAGAGAGACACTGGGACTGGTAGAGGCAAGTGTTTGTCCCAAGCCCCATAGCTGGAGGCTGGCAAATCTGAGTGGAAGCCAGTTGTCATGGGTCACAGGAGCCGTGGTGTGGGCATAGGGGGCTGGGCCTCATTTTACTGGGCCCAGATCCAGGCAGGTCACCTTGGACATGGTGACATCATGGGATTGGACCATGAAAAAGTGAGGGCCTCAGCTGCATTGTGTCTGACCCTGCCAAGATCTGCCCAGACCGGGCCTGCTGCATAGGGTCCTGCCACCCCTGACAGGCCACCCTGCACCCCCGAGTGAGCTCATCCATCAGGGCCAGTGCAGGGGCTGACGCCCACAGTCTCCAGACCCCTTCCGTGCTTCTGGGCCATTACAGGGTGCAGGTAGCCTATAGGTCCCCCTGTCCTGTGGGCTCACCCTCTGCCCTTTTGGTGAGTGCCTGGGTCGGGGATAATATGTCATGGTCTGTCCCTGCAGCCCAGTGAGGGGTCCTGTGAGGACCTTGTGAGACAGCTGAGGAACCTGAGGATCAGTGAGGCGGGGTAACCTGCTTAAGGTTATGAGCCAAGGGGAGGAAATGATCTGAACCTGAGGCCCCATCCCACAGCCCACACTCTGGAGCTCTGGGCCCAACAGCCTCCTGCAGTCTCTGCAGGGTGAAAGCTGCATGTTTCTGCCAGCCTCACACAGACAATGAGTGCATGCTGGCGAGGGACAGGCACAGAAGGTCCGTGGCAGCCCAAGAGCAGGGGGCAGGTGGCCTGCAGCCAGCACGGGGCTATAGAGCTGCCCTCCCGGGAGCCCACCCTGCCAGGGCCTGCAGGGAGGGGGACCAGAGCAGCTGCCCCTGGAGCATGTTCTCACCGACCGGTGTCGGGGGTCACCACCACAGCCACTGCTCCAGACTTGGCTCTGAAGTTTCAGGGTGGGCTTGGCCCCTGGTGTGGGCTTCACAGAATTGGCCAGCTTGTTCCGCAGACTGGCTGAGTGTGAGGATGCACCGAGGGCCTCACAGATGAGTAGGTTTAGCTCCAGCCGCATCACAAATGAACAGATTTATTTTAAAAAGGGTGCTGGGGGCAGGAAGCTCAGCCAGCGGGAGGGGTGTAGGCCTGTCTGGGCTCAGCCACATTTCGGGAGGCTGGCCCAGCTTCAGAAGCCCCTGAGCTGGCAAACCCACCAGCCAGCAGGAGAGAGGAAGGACCCTGGCTGCAGCAGCGAGGCAGAACGGGGGCGACGTCTATTCCCAGCTTGACTGTCTTTGGGGCAATTCCACCCTTTGCAGAGCCCGCCAGGTGCCGGCAGCACTGCGTGGCTGGGTTTGGTACTTAGGGTAAGTTCTGCAGAGCTGCCACCGTCTCCCCCCATGTAGATGAGAAAACACGGCAAAGTGTGGCCCAGACTCTGGCCCAGGCCTTTCCCATCTTACCCAAGGCCACTTACTTGTCCTCGTCCACTGACCCCACCCCCTCTGCTGACCCAGGCCCCTCTCCTTGCTCCCTTTCTTGGGGCCTGTCCTATCCCCTAGCTCTGGGATACCCCCCAGCAACTGCCTCCAACTCCCCCTTTCATGCTGCTGATGCTCCCTGTCCACCTGTCATCCCTGGACCCCTTGGGTGACCACAGCAGTGACCTCTCCCCAAAGAGGGGGCTACCCACACCCAGGCCTGCAGCTGGGTGAGACTGTGATGCAGGGGAAAGAGGTTGCACACTCTCATCCAAAGCACTGTTTCCAAGTTCCTAAGCCCAGGCCTCTGAGACGTTCCCAAAGTGCCAGAACGTCCCCTCCAGGACAGACAGTGCTGGTCTGATGTCTGTGGGTCAGGTGGAGCTGTCGGGCCCAGAGCAGAGCCCACATATGTCAGCTTCCACCCAGCGACCTGCAGAAAGGGGCCTGGATGCCACAAGCCGGACCATGGGCAGTTACAGGGTGACCAGGACCAGGTTTCCCCTCCCGACCAGGGGAGCTCGGCGCACACACGGCAGAGCAGGCAGGGGCTGCCAGCCTCGCCCAACCCTGCCCGCCGGCCCCTAACCTGCCACCTCTGCCCCCTCGGGCAGGGCGCATGTTCCACGTCTGCGAGCAGCAACCGCTCAGAGGGACCGGGTTCCTCCTGGCGGGTTTCCCGGGCTCCCTGGGGCTCCACGCGAGCCTGCGGGCACCATCCCTGCTGGCCCACCCGCCGACCCTCATGGAGAACGTGGCTCTCGTCGCTGATCCGCGCCAGCCTGGCGCTGCACAAGCCCATGGACTTCTTCCTCGCCACCTGTCCTCCCTGGAGGCGCGGCACGTCCCCGTCACGGTGCCTGGGGCGTTGCTCAGCCCGGCGGCACCCACGTCCCAGCGTGTCTCCCTCGCGGGCTGCCCAGGCTTCTCCCAGAGCGCGCTGCTGGCGTCACGGCCCACGACCGCCACGTGGCCATGTGTTCCCCGCTGCGCGGCCGCCGGCTCCTGGCTCTGGGCTCCACCATCTCCCTGGGGAAGGTCGTCCTGGTCCCCCGCCTGGGCTGCTGCGGCCCCAGCGTCATGGACCACTTCTGCGACGTGTCCCCGCTGCCGAACCTTGCCTGCTCCGACGTGTCGGTGGCGGAGCTCGCGGACCTCCTGCTGGCGCTGCTCGTCCTGCGGGGGCCGCGGGGCTCCCCGGCTTCTCCATCCGCCGGCCCGAGGCTTCTCCACGTGCCCCGCGCGCCTGGCCGTGCCCGTCGTCTTCACCTGCGCCCGGCCACGCACCATCTGCACCTTCCACTACAACAAGCTGGTGTCCGCGGTGTACACGGTGCTCACGCCCCTGCCCAACCCGGTCACCTACGGCCTGCGGAACCAGGAGGTCAAGCAGGCGCCGTGCAGGGCGGCACAGAGGGCAGTCGGGCCCTGGGGCCTCCTCCTAGGCCTGCACCTGCCCCCATCCTGCACCTTCTCACCAGCTCTCCCGGGCAGTGCGGGACCAGAGTCAAGGACTGAAGGAGCAGTCGGAGGGTCCAGTCGGAGGGTCCAAGAGCACGGGGGCCACCGAGACCTGGCTCACCCCCTCCTAATGCCAGGCAGGCACCCCCTCGGGTTCCCCCCACCCTGAACCCCCAGGTGCCACACAAGGGCTGTGTTCATGGGGGGGCTCTTTCCAGCTGACCATGCTCACCCCTCATGCCCAGGGGAGTGGAGAGGTGTCAGCAACCCAGGTTCCAGGTGGGGACACACCTTGAAGAGGGCACAATGGCCATGGCAGGCCTGTGCTCTGTGCCACCCATCCCCCTACTGAGCCACCCCAGTGGCCCCTGCTGCGTGGTCCCTCCTCCAGCTGGGCCCTTCAGGGCCTCCTCATGGTTATCAAGGGGATGATCCGGGGTGTGGTTCCCAACCAGGGATGAGGAACAAATGCTCAGGAGCAGGAGGAGAGAAGAGGATGTAGGATTCTGGGGTGACCAAGAATGTTCCTAAACAAAAAACAGAGCTGCTTGCCCACCCGCTTAGGGCTCCTGACCCACGTCTCCACAGCCAGAGTGGCATAAACGAGGCAGGGGCAAGAAAGGGCATCTGGGACCTGAGCTCATGGTGTCCTGCTGGACACTGACCCGGGCACTAGGGACGTGGGGTCCTCTACCCAGGGATTCCCACCTGGTGCCCCAGCCTTCAGGAGGCTCTCTGCCGCCCTCCCTGACCACCCGCCAGGCCATGGCCTCACTCTATTCTGTGGCCACAGCAGGAGGGGTTCCTGGGAAGGCTGAGCTGCATTTCAATACCACTGCAGGGCCAGTGTCTGCAGAAGACCCTGACCCCAGCCAAGGTGCTGGCAGGTGCATTGTCATGGAGGGGAGCTGGGATAGGGGTTTTCCACACCACCCATGGGCACATCTTGCAGGGATGACCAGGAAGCCCAGTGCCTCAGTCACCCCTGGAGGAATCCCTCATCTATTCCTCCTGAGAGGCTGAGAGGGAGGGAGGGCCCAGACCATGTGTGTGAGCGCCTCAGCTTCAGATCCCCATCAAATGGGCAATGGCTCTGGGTGGCGTGAGCTGTGGTAATGCTCTGGGGCCCAGGGCAGATGCCAGAGCCGTCCAAGCCCAGGGATGTGGTACTGGCTACTCAGGGGTGGTGCATGGCCTGGGGTCTCTCTGGGGAGCTCTTTGTCCACAAGGGAGTTGGGAGCAGGAACAGAGGGAAGGAGACAAATCCTTGCCTTGTCCCAAAGTGGGACAAATCAGTATGCCTGGGGCAGGACTGATCTGAGGAGTCACTGCTGGACAAGACTTGGCCACTGAGGGTCCATCTCTGCAACCACACGGAGGAGACCCAATGCCCTGCTCAGTGTGTCCAAGCAGAGGCAGCCTTGCCCTGCAGACTGTATGATGGAGCAAACATTCCACAAGAGGTAACTTTAAATCAGAAATCACAAGCACATCCCTCTTTCAATATAAATACACTTCCAAATCAAACTTCAATTTACAAATTGATCTTTTGAGAAAGCAGAGTGAAAACGTTGGCTCACTGGTTTATCATTTCATTAGTAAAGTGCATTTGAGTACCAGCCCTGGCCAGGTGCTGCTGGCCCTGCAGAGACCAGGTCATCGCAGAACCCACAGCCTAGTTTAGACATTGGGAGGTGGTGCCCAGTGCCTACCCCACAACAGGGTCTTCAAGGTTCCATGGAAGTGGGGGTGGGGGTAGGCAAAGGCTCTGGCCTGGGTGGGGCACAGATGCTCTTGGGGATAAGGAGGTGTTTGCAAGTCAGTCCCAGCAGGTGTGGGGGGCCCTGCAGGAAAACAGCAGCATGAGGTCCTGGAGGAGAAAACACATCTCTGGTCAGAAGACCCGGGCTGCAGGGCCAGCCAGGGGGCACTGGGTGGCCACAGGCATTACCTGAACTCCCTCCTGCAGGATGGACACCGCTGGAGAGCTCTGAGCAGAGCAGCAACATAATCAGATTTCCATTGTAGAAAGACACCTCTCACACTGGGAGGGACTGGACCCAGGGCCCGGGAAGGGCTGGGGAAACAGGTGAGAGCCCATCTGGAGCCCAGGGGAGGAGATGAGGACTGGGGTGTGAGGGATGGAGAGGCGCAGGTGGGGACAGCCCTACCAGTCACTGGTCAGCTGCTGGAAGTGAAGATCTGGAACCACAGGCAGCACCCCAGCGTTGACTTGAGTGACAAGTGGGTGGAGACAGACAGAATCCTGTGGTTTCTGGAGCAGAGAAGGTGGAGAAATGGGCAGGGGCAGATGGAGGGCCTGGGCAGGGGCAGCCACGGAGAGGCTTTGAACCTGGAAGTCACAAGACCATGTCTGTGTTTTTGAAGGTGGCTTCAGTGCAGGCACTGGATGGAGAAGCACAAACATGGAAGCAAAGTTCAATCAGGAAGCCGGAGCAGAGTCCAGGCCGAGGCTCTGATGTCTTGCTTGCTCAGGAGAGTGAAGACGGAAGGATGTCGTGCGTTAGACAGATCCGGGAGTTACAGCCACAGGCCTCGGACTTACCAGACTCGGAGCCATGAGGATCGGGCGGTTTCCACTCAGGGAGGAGGGCAGGTGTCGGGGATGCCCAGTTAGGTTTTGGAAACGTCCAGTGGGTCGTTCGGAAACAGATGGAAGGGAGAAGAAATCTCATGAATACCCTCATGGATGCAGGAAAGTATGGATTGCATCCTTGAAACATTAGAACACTCAGAGAAAAGGAAAGAAGAGGAAAGGAAGAAAGAAGATTCAAAGAAAAACACAGAGAGAAAACACTCTTGCAAACTGGAAATATGTGGCAGAAATAAAATCTCAATAAGATTGGAAGACGAGTTGAAGAAATCACTCAGAAAGTCAAACCAAGAAGTGATATGGAAAACGAAGACTAAATGTGTTTTAATTACCCCAAGAGATCCAATATCTAACCAGGAGAGAGTTCCAGAACATTTAGAGAAAACAGAGAGGAGCTCCATACCCAGTCACAGAGAACTTAGTAATGCAGACTGACCCTTCCCTGGAGGACAACGAGGTGGGTTTTAATCTTAAAAGCAGCAAAGGGGTAAAAGTCAGTGAGGAACTGCCAGGTGAGGGCCAGGAGATGACTGGTGCCCAGCAAGGTGAGCCCAGCGCTCCAGGCCCTGTGCCACTGAGGTCTCACAGAGCAAAGGCCTATTTAGTGCTAGACCCAGCCAATGCAGTGGCCCTGGAACCCCACTCTGCTGGGGTGCAGGGGGCCAAAGGGCTGCACCCTGGAAATGAGGGTGGACCAGACAAGACCCAGCCACTGTGGGCCCAGAACCACTGTGAATCAGCAGGTGGAACATAAAAGTGCAGACTTTGAACTTAGAGTCACATGGTTCTAGACCACTAGTGCCACCATGTGTCTGAAAGAAGTAAAAACAAACAGAAATATCCCTTCTAGAGGAAAATAGCAGAGTAAGTTCTAATCATTCCCTCACAGAATTCTTCAAATATGGTGTTCAGTACACAATCAAAGATCATCGGGCATGTGAAGAAATAAGAGATGGTGAGCAGGACGGGTGTTGGACTGATCAGAAACAGACTCAAAACAACAGGATCCGAGGAGACAGGTCAAGTAGAAAGCCAGCAGGATATGGAAAACTTGAGCAACACTGCCAACTTGACCTAACTGACACCTGGAGAACCCTCCAACAACAGTCGAATGCATATTCTTCTCCAGGGCACATGGAAAATTTATCAAGATACACCCCATTTGAGACCATGAACTAAGTATCAAACAAAAGAATTAAAAGCAACACATAGTATGTTGTCTAACCACAATAGAACTAAAATAGAAATCAAAAGAGAAAGATTTCTGAAAAGTCTCCAATTATTTGGAAACAATATACTCCTAAATAACCCATTAGTCAAAGAAGAAATGAAAAGAGAAATTAGGAAATGTTTTGAAATGAAAATACAACACATCAAAAAGTATGTGATGCATATTGTGCACCGGTGATGATATTCAACTCTGTACCCCACAAATATGTACAATCAACTGTTACAATAAAAAAATTATGTGATGCTACTAAAGCAGTGCTTATAAAGAAATTTGTAGCACCAAACATTCATATTAGAGAAGAGAGACCTTAAATCAGTGACCTCAGCTTCTACCTTAAGGCACTCGAAATATAATAACAAATTAAGCACAAACAAGCAAAATAAAGGAAATAATAAAGATAAGAGCAGAAATCAATGAAATGGAAAACAGAAAAGGCAACAGATAAAATCAATGAAATTGAAAGCTGGTTCTTTGAGAACATCGATGAAACTGATAAACCTCTATTTAGGCTGATTTGGGAAAAAATGAGATAAGACATAAATTACCAATATTAAGAAGGGGAGGGGTGATGTCAGTTAAGAAAATATTGTGAACAACTTTATGCCAATAAATTCACAAGTCAGATTAAATAGACAAATTGCCTGAAAGACACAAACTTCAAAAGCTCACTTAGGAAGAAGTAGATAACCTAAGTATCCCTATATCTATTAGATTTGTAAATAAAAACTCTTCCACAAAAAAACAAAACAAGGGCCGGCCCGGTGGCGCACTGCGCTAGTGCGCCGCTTGGGAAGCGCGGAGGCGCTCCCGCCGAGGGTTCGGATCCCACATGCAGACCGGTTCCCGCTCACTGGCTGAGTGAGGCGCGGGGGCAACACTGAGGGTTGCGATCCATTGCCGGACACGGAAAAAGACAAAAACAAACAAACAAACAAAAAAACAAAACCCAAAACACTTCAGGAGATGGCTTTGCTGGTGAATTCTACAAAGTATTTAAGAGAAAAAAAATACACAAACTTCTCTAGAAAATTGAAAGGAAGGGAATACATCCCACCTCATCCCATAAGACCAGCATTATCTTGATTCAAAAACCAAAAAGAAAAAGAAAACTAGAGACCATATTTCTCATAAATACAAGAATACTTCAAAAAGTTTGTGAAAAATGGAATTAAAAGAGAATAGGAATATTCCCGTGAAGTTTTTAAAGATCCCTCAGGTAGATGTAAAATTTTAAACACACTTTTAGCCTGTATAATCTGATGATGTATACAAAAGGTAACACATCAGGAACAAGTGTGGTTTAAACCAAAAATTCAAACTTGACTTAACATTTGAAATCGACCAGTGAAATCTACCATAGTAACAGGTTTAAAAAGACAAACCATATGGTCATCTCAATAGATGCAGACAAACATAGACAAAATCAAACACCCATTCGTGGAAAAAACTTTCAGCAAACTAAGAATACAAGAGAACCTCCTTAATCTGATAAAGGGCATCTACACAAAGCTGTATTAACATCATACTTAACAGTGAAAGGCTGAACGCTTTCACCCAAATATCAAGAGTAGGATAATATTGTCTGCCCTCACCACTTCTACTCAAATTGTATTGAGGTTCTAGCCAGTCCAATAAGGCAAGAAGAAGAAATAAAAGGAAAAACTCTATTTGTGGCTGGTGTGATGAGTAGAGATGCTGTAATGGAATCTACAACAAAGCTACCAGAAGTAATGTGCTAGTCCAGCAAGTTTGCAGAACACAAGATCAATATTTAAAAATCAATTGTATTTCTGTATACCAGCAACAAAAAATAGGAAACTAAAATATTTCTAAAATGATGTTAGAGATTATACCAAACAATATAAAATAGCTAAGTGTAAACCTTACAAAAGATGTATGAGAACTGCATGATGAAAACTACAAATTAAATTTACTTGTATTAAATTTTTGTTAAGTTTAATTGTCTGTAATTCTTTAATTTTGTAAGAAAATTAAAGGCCTAAAAAATAGAGATAAACCATGTTAATTGATTGAAAGACTCAACATTGTTAATATGCCAATCTTCTCCAAACTGATCTATAGAGTTAATATGATCTTAATCAAAATCTAAGCAGGCTTCTCTTAGAAATTGCCAAGCTGATTCTAAATTTTATATGGAAAGCAAAGGACCTGGAATATTGAAAACAACTTGAAAAAGAACAACAAAGTTGGAGGAGTCAAGTGTTATGATAAAGCTATAGTAATTAAGACAGTGTGGTATTGGCATCAAGATAGAAAAACACATAAGAATAGAGTAGAGAGAATACAGAAATAGACCTACACAGAAAAGGACAACTGATTTTTTACAAAGGTTAAAAGTCAATTTAGTGGAGAAAGAAGAGTCTGTTCTTCTTTCTTGCACCATATATGAAAATAAACTCAAAAATGGAACATAGGCCTAAATATTAAATCTAAAACTTCTAGAAGAAAGCATATGAGAAAACTTCTTACACCTTGGGTTAAGCAAAAATTTCTTAAGACGAGAAAGCGAAACCAAAATCCATTTAAAAAAATTAATCAGTTGGACTTCATCAAAATTAAAATCTTCAAAAAACAACAATTAAGATAATGAAAAGACAAGTTACATCCTGGGAGAAAATATTTCCAAATCACATGTCTAATAAAGGACTTACATCCTTTGACTGTACAACTTGTATCCAAAACTCAATAATAAAAAAAAAATCCAAATATTTAAAAATGGGCAAACGATTTGAATAGACACTTTACCAAAGAACATTGACAAATGACAAATAAGCAACATGAAAAGATGCTGAGCATCACTAGTCATTAAGGAAATGAAAATTAAAAGCACAATGTGATAGGACCCACCCAGTAGAATAGCTAAGGTTGATAAGACTGACCACACCAAGTGTTGACAAGCATATGGAGGAACTGGAGCACATGCACAGTACTGGCAGGAATGCAAGTGGAATTTCCTAAAAAGTAAAGTGTACACCTGCCATATGCTCCAGCCATTTCACTCTTAGGTATCTACCCAAGGGAAGTGAAGGTATATGCCCTTGCAGAGACTCATAAGTGTATGTTCACAGCAGCTTTATTTGTAATAGCCAAAAACTGGAAATGACTTAAATGTTCATCAAAAGGGAATAGATAAAAAAATTATGGTATATCAATATATGGGAGTAATCAGCAATAAAAAGGAATGAACTATTGATACATGCAACAACATAGATGAATCTCAAAATAATTATATTGAATGAAGAAAGTCTGATATAAAGTAATATATACCATATGATTTTATTTATATAAAATTCTAGCAAATGTAAAATGATCAATACTGACAGGAAGCAGATCAGTGGTTGCCTGAGACGCATTGTGGACGAGTGGGCAGGAACAGTGAGGAGGCATGATTAAACTTTTGGGTGGATAAATATGTTCATTGTCTTGACTGTGGTGGTAATTTCACAGGTGGGTACCTATATAAAAACTTAGCAATGAGCACTTTAAATACATGCAGTTTATTGTATGTCATTTACAACTCAATTTCCTATTTAAGTAACCATGGAGAAACAAATAGATGGAAAAACAGAACACAGGGAAAGATGTAGAGAGGATGCAGAGAGAGAAGGTCTAACACAAGTATAATTAGAGGCCCAAGAGGAAGCAGACCTGCCTTGCCAGGGCCCATATTTGTTCTGCCATGGCCACATGTATTTCTTCTTCTATTGCTTATTTCTTGGCTCACACTATAACCAGAGTTGGTGGTGCTGGAAGAGCAAGGGGCAGGCTGTGGACACAGACCCCAAGGAGAGGCTGTGGACACAGACCCCAACTCTGGTCTTCCCACACCACCCCAGCACCTCCCTGCCCCATTCCATGATAAGGATGAGCACGGTGGCCTCTGCAACCCAGCTGAGCATTTGCAACCACTGCCCAGCTTCAGCCTCACATGGAAGGTCATCAAAAAGGGAAGACAAGCACTTCCTGGGGACATGGACCAGACAGCAGATGCTTTTCACACAGGGAGAGAGGTGGGGGCAACACACTCACCCATACTTGCAAACCCTCTCCAGAGCCGCAGTGTGAGGCCAGATGAGAAAACCAGACTTGACGTCCACAGCCACATCTCAAAGCTGAGACAGTCACTGGCGCCAACACCAGACTCAGCACACAGTGACTCTTGTTGGTCTTCTTAAAAAGTCAAATCTGCCATCTGACATGAAGAATCTGCACCTCTGCGACACGCAGAATAAATCAGTACAAACCTTCCAGATGATTCCTGAGGATTCCCGAGGGGCAGCACTGGCAGAATCTCTCCCAGCTCTGGCTCTTACTGACTGCTGGTGATAAGGAGCACCTTTGCAGACCTGGAAAGGTGCTAATTAAACAGCTTCCGATTGCTCTTAGAGACCTCCTAGTGCCAGAAACATGGAAGGCTTTTAGATAATGGCTCATTTAAAAAATAGTCCATCTTATGCTCCACGTCTCTCCCTTCACCACCATTACTTTTTTGTTGTTGTGTGACAAACTGCCATCATTTAGTGGCTTAAAACATCACCTGTGTATTATCTCATAGTTCCTGTGGGTCAGGGGTCTTGGCACAGCTCAGCTGGGTCCTCTGATCAGGGTCTTGTAGGCTGCAGTCAGGTGTCAGTTGGGGCTGAGTTCTGATCTGAGGCTCAGCTGGGGAAGGATCCACTTCCAAGCTCCTCCAGGTTCTTGGCAGAATTCATCCCCCTGTGAGTGTAGCACTGAGGTCCCCATTTTATTTCTGGCTGCTTTCAGCTCCAAGGGGCCACCACAGCTCTATGCCCTCTCTCCATATGGCAGCTTGCTTCTTCAGGGCCAGCAGGGTAAAATGCAGGTGGCATCTATACAACACAAGATAGTCACAGAAGTGACCCCCATCACCTGCGCCATATCCTACTGGTTAGAGGCAATCACAGCAGAGGGGACTATACAGGTGTGAGCATGGGGCCCCCCTAGACTCTGTCACCACACATCCTCCTCTTCATGTTCCATACAGAGTGGCCAAACTTGCTGGCCTGGCAGCAGATAGGACTCCTGCACCTCCCACTCTAGGAGCCAGAGGAAGAGCCCGATTCCATGTCCATGCCTTTGTGCACACACAGTGACACGTGCTCAGGTAGCCATGTTCATGCAGGATGGTGCTGATCCACATGGGAAGCATTTGGCTAGTGCCAAACAACAAAAAAGTGGCTGTAGGTCATGGCCAAGGAAGTCCATTGTCCACATGAGAAGTGGCTCTGCAGGAAGCTTCCAGCCCTTGTGCAGGGATGCTAGGACAGTCTCACAGAGAACACTGCACTGGAACAGCAAGGAACGTGGCACTAGCCCTGATCCCCCCCTTTTCCCTGGCACCAACCCCTGCACACACCTGGTCCCTAAGGGTCACCTGCCATTTCCCAGTATTGCTCGCAAACAGACATAGCTCATCTCCACTAAAGTGCTGGTCTCCTGGGTGAACGACAATTTTGAATGCTAATTCTTAAAAATTAAAGGTTTCTTAGGATTCAAGCAATCGAGTGTCTGATGCTAAAACCCTAAGCAGCAGCAGGTGTCTGGAGTGTCCCTTGATGTGCTGTGGGCAGGGCTGCCTCATTCTCCTCAATCCCCCACATCTGTTCCTGAAGCCAGCCCTGGGGACACCACAAAAATGATACACCTGAAAGTCATGGTGTGGGAGAGGTGTGGGCCACACATGACTGTGTTGGGAGGGAAGATTACCCCTTCGCAGCACTGAGTGCACTGGTTTCCCCACACACCACATCAGCTTGAGTTAATGTGCCCTTGTCTCACTGACGTAATCCCTCCGACAAAGCAGGATGTGACCTCTTCCTGAACAAGACACACTGGCCTATGCTTCGTGGGTCAGCCCTGGGGCATCAGCACCAGAAGGCTGGACAGTCAGAGTCACCCAAAGAGCTAAGGCCACAGGCATGAGCAGAGGGAGCCACAGCACACGTATGAGGTGGGAGCCGTGAGCTGGGTGTGAGTTTAGAAAGTGGTGGGAGGCTGATTCAGCAACACAGACCTTACACCCCAGTCAAAGGTCAGCACCACGGTCAGAGGCCCAAACACCCAAAACCTTGTGTCAGCACCATGGCTGGCAGTAAAAGCCATGGTTAGACTCCATCCCCAGCCCCGCTGAGTGCGCGCCAATCAGAGAGGCACCAAGATCTGTGGAGACTGCACACCCTTTGGTACCAGCATGTGGCGCAGCGGGTGGGTCTCACCGCCACAGCCCGACTCCATCCCCAGCCTTGCCGAGTGCGCGCCGATCAGGGAGGCGCCCAGCCAGAGAGGCCAAAGATCCTCGGAGACTGCACACCCTGCAGTGCCAGTGTGCGACTCAGCAGGTAGGTCTCTTCACCACCGCCTGACTCCATCCCCAGCCCTGCTGAGTGCGCACCAATCAGAGAGGTGGCAAGATCTGTGGGGATCACGCACCCTGTAGTGCCGGCATGTGACCCAGCAGGTAGGCCTCGCTGCCGCCGCCAGACTCCATCCCCAGCCCCACCGAGTGCATGCCGATCAGAGAGGCACCCAGCTGGAGAAGCCCAAGATCTGCGGAGACCAGGAGCCCTGCGGTTCCAGCGTGTGACCCAGCAGGTGGGCCTCACCGCTGCCACCCGATTCCATATCCAGCCCCATCGAGTGAACGCTGATCAGAGAGGCACCTAGCCAGAGAGGCCCATGATCCTCAGAGACTACCCACCCTGCAGTGCCAGCGCACAACCCAGCAGATAGGCTTTGCTACCACTGCCCGACTCCATCCCCAGCCTGGCTGAGTGTGTGCTGACCAGAGAGGTGCCTCCCCTGAGAGGCCCAAGATCTGAGGTGACCACGCACCCGAGGCACTAGTGGGCAACCGAGCAGACACTGAGGCAGCCATACGAAATTGGCAGCCCCAGAAGCATCCTAGCCAGACAATAGTGTCAAACCAGTGGACTTTGAAATCCCCTGCCACAATGACTGAACATCAAAGGAAAGATACCAGAAATATGAAAAATCAAGAAAGTACACCACCAAAGGGTAATAACTCTCAAGCTCTGGACCCTATAGAACAAGAAGCCATTGAAATGTCTGACAAGGAATTTCAAGTGATCAGTCTAAGGAAACTAAATGAGATACAAGAAAACTCAGCTAGACAACATGATGAAATGAGGAAAAGTATACAGGACCTGAAAGAAATGTACAAGGAAATCAATGCCATGAAAAAGAATGTAGCAGAGCTTGCTGAGCTGAAGAAATCATTCAAACAAATAAAAAACACAACAGAGAGTTTAACCAGCAGGCTTGCAGAAGCAGAACAGAGAACTTCTGACCTTGAACATGGGCTGTTTGAAATAACACAGGCAGACAAAAAAAAAAAAAAAAAAAAAAAAAGAAAAAAAAAAAAAAGAATTAAAAACATTGAAGAAAATCTAAGAGAGATATCAGACAACCTTAAGCACTCAAATATCCGAGTCATGGGTATTCCAGAAGGGGAGGAAAAGGAGATTGCTTTGAAAACATATTCAACAAAATAGTCGCAGAAATCTTCCCAGGTATAGGAAAAGACACAGATCTTCAGATTCAGGAAGCTCAAAGATCCCCAAACATATTCAACCCAAAAAGGTTTTCTCCAAGACATGTTATAGTCAAATTGGCAAAACTCAAAGACAAAGTTTCCTTACTCTTTATTGGTCTGTTCAGATTTTCTATTTGTTGGTATGTTGTATGTATCTAAGAATTCATCCATTTCTTCTACGTTATCAGTTTTTTTTGGTGTGTAATTGTTCATTATAGTCACTTATGATCCATTGCATTTCTGTGATATCAGTTGTAACATCTCTTTCATTTCTGACTTCATTTGACTCTTCTGTCTTTCCTTCTTAGTCTGGCTAAAGGTTTGTCAATTTTGTTTATCTTTTCAAAGAACGGTGTGTAATTGTTCATTATAGTCACTTATGATCCATTGCATTTCTGTGGTATCAGTTGTAACATCTCTTTCATTTCTGACTTCATTTGACTCTTCTGTCTTTCCTTCTTAGTCTGGCTAAAGGTTTGTCAATTTTGTTTATCTTTTCAAAGAACCAATCCTTAAGTTTTGTTGATTTTAGTTTCTACTGTCTTTCTATTCTCTATTTCTGCTCTGATCTTTATTTCCTTTCCTTCTACATACTTTGAGCTGTTTGTTCTTCCTTTTCTAGTTCCTTGAGGTGTACTGTTAAGTTGCTTATTTGATATCTTCTTTTTTGATATAGGCACTTATTGCTATAAGCTTGCCTCTTAGAACTTCTTTTGCTCCTAAGTTTTGGTATGCTGTGTTCCCACTTTCATTTGCCTGAAGATATTTTTTTAATTTCCCCTTTAATTTCTTCTTTGACCCTTGGTTGTTCAAGAACATGTTGCTTAATTTCCATGTATTTGTAAATTTTCCAGAGTTCCTCCTGTTATTGATTTCTAGTTTTGTTACATTATGGTTATAAAAATACTTGATGTGATTTCATTCTTCTTAAAATTGTCAAGACTTGTTTTGTGGCCTAACAAATGATCTGTCCTGGAGAATGTTCTGTGTGCACTTAAGAAGAATGTGTATTCTACTGCTGTTGGACCAATTTTCTGTATGTTTGCTAGGTCCATTTGGTCTAGGGTGTAGTTCAAGTTCACTGTTTCCTTATTTTCTGTATGAGTGATCTATCCATTGTTGAAAGTGGAGTATTAAAATTCCCTATTATTATTGCATTTTAATCTATCTCACCTTTCATATGTGTTAATATTTGCTTTATACATTTAGGTGCTCCAATGTTGGGTGCATATATATTTAAAATTGTTATATTCTCTTGATAAATTGAACACTTTATTATTATAGAAAGACCTTGTCTCTTTTCACCATTTTGTCTATGTATAGCCACCCTTGCTCTGCTTTGCTTATCATTCGCTTGGAATACCTTTTTCCATCCCTCACTCTATGTGTGTCCTTAAAGTTAAAGTGAGTGTCTAGGCAGTTTATGAGTTGGATCTTGTTTGTTTTTTCTTTTTTCATCCATTTAGCTACCCTGTGTTTTTAATTGGAGAATTTAAACCATTTGTATTTAGAGTAATTATTGACAGGTAAGGACTTACTGCTGGCATTTTGTTGATTTTTATTTGGCATATTGTTAAGTAATATTTTGATTTTTATTAAGTTTTTGACTATTTTGTACTTCTTTTGATCCTTTCTTCCAATCTTGTTATATTTGTTTGTGATTTGTTGTATCTTTCTGTCTCTTTTTCTTTTAGTATATCTACTAAATGTTTTTTCTTTATAGTTACCATGAAGCTTACATAAAACTTCTTATAGTCATAATATCCTGGTTTAAGCTAATAGCACCTTAACTTCAATTCTATACAAAGATTCTGCACTTACACTTCTCTTCCCATTTTTTGCTGTTGATGTTGTACATCTATTTATATTGTGTATCTGTTAACCAATTCTTTATAGTAATAGTTGTTTTTAATATTTATTTGTCTTTTAACTGTTAGATTTAGAGTTACACAACCATCTTTACAGTATTAGACTATTCTCAATTTGACTATTTATTTGCCTTTACCAGTAAGGTTTATACTTTTATGTTTTCATATTGTTACTAATTGTCCTTTCATTTCAACTAGAAGAATTTCCTTTAGCATTTCTTATAAGTCTGGTATCATGGTGATGAACTCCCTCAGTTTTCCTTTGTCTTGTAATGTCTTTATCTTTCCTCCATTACCAAAGAACAGCTTTGAAGGGTGTGGTATCCTTGGTTGGAATTTTTTTTTTCCTTTAGCACTTTGAATGTTATCCCATTCCCTTGTTGCTAGTCAAGTTTCCATTGAGAGGTCT